AATTTACCTCGTGGACCCAAAGTCAAACCGAAGAAACCTCTCTGGGCGGTCGGAAAACTCACTCTCGAGATTCTCTAAATCTGACACGCACTTCATCTTCTTTATCTATTCCAGATCCAACTTCTTGCCCTCAAATACATCAGCGACTCGCGCCCCTTGCTCGTGGCAGCACGCTGACATATAACCCTCCAAGTGTCTTCTTCAATGGCGTATTCTTCCAAAGGCAAGTTCTTGGTGCTTTGTTTCTTGTTCTTTTTATCTTGTCCTCATGCTTCTACTGTCCTTGTAAAATCTGAATCTTGTCCAATACAAGCCAAGCATGATCACAGGCCGTGCCATGAAGCTATTTCTCAGCCTGAAATCACAAATAATCCGAATCAAGAAATTTTGTTGAACAAACTGGAGGAATTAGTGAGAAATCTTAGTGATATAGTGACCAGATTGGAATCAAAACTACCGGATCTCTCAAAGGTGGCTCTCGAGGACGAGAGATCGGCGCTTCAGGAGCAGGGTAGGTCTACCGAAAGAAAGTACGAGAATAAAAGATCAAATAAAAAGGTTGAAGATGGGGAGTATGATGGCAAAATTCGAGATGCAGAGAGAGCTCGGGGGGTTTCTGTGACGAAGTACTCTCCGTTTTGGTCAGAGAGGTTTCATTTTGTATCGGCTGTGAAATTAGATTCAGATGCAACCTGTATAAACGTTTTGCCATTTCGTGACTATGAGGGTCTCAGCAAGTATGTAGCCGTTGGGGATGAGAGAGGAAGAGTGTATGTATTCTTGAGAAATGGAGATGTTTTGCTGGAGTTCTATACGTCAATGGCGTCGCCCATTACGGCAATGGTTTCCTACACATCTGCTCGCAAAAATGAAAGTGTCGTGGTAACAGGACATAAAAATGGCGCAATCTTGATTCATCGTATTTGGGAGGGATCAAGTGGAGAAGATTGGAGTTCTCTCTACATGGAAAATGTTGGTAAATCGGTGTCACCAGAAAGTGAGGAGGTCGGATTGCCCATAACCATCTTGGAAGTTCATTATGTTGGAAGGATGAAATACATTTTATCAACTGATAGTAGCGGCAAGATTAAAGTTTTTAGGGAAAATGGTACATTTCATGGTTCGGTCATGCCATCAAGTAGGCCACTAGCATTCTTGAAGCAACGGCTTTTGTTTTTGACAGAAACTGGCGCGGGCTCATTGGATTTGAAGGGCATGAGAGTTAGAGAAACTGAATGCGAAGGGTTAAACCATTCCCTTGCTCGAAGTTATGTTTTTGATGCCACAGAGCGTTCTAAAGCATATGGGTTTACCTCAGAGGGTGATCTGGTTTATGTTCTGCTGCTAGGAGATGTAATGAACTTCAAATGCAGGGTTAGATACAAGAGGAAATTTGATATGGAGGAGCCTCTGACTTTCCAGGCTATTAAGGGGTATATGCTGGTCGTTAGCCCAGAAAAGGTTTTTGTGTATAATGTTTCTACTCAGCATTACGTGAGAGTCGGTGTGCCTCGGTTTCTATTCTCGACAAGTCTTGACGAGATCAGATCATCGTTTTTGAACTATCCAACCTCGAGTTTGGATGCAGAAAGAAGAGTAATACCCTTGATCGCTAGTGACCGTGAAAAGCTTGTTATTATCGGCCTTGGAGGTGGGTGTGTTGGAATGTATCATTCTAATCTTCCTCTATACAAAGGGGAATTCAATACTATATTCTGGACTAGCCCAGTATTGTTCTTCATACTGTTTCTGTTTGGGGCGTGGCATTTTTTTGCGAAGAAGAAGGAAGCACTTACTTCTTGGGGACCAGATGACCCATTTACCTCCACATCGGCCACAACCAGTGCTCCAACCTTAGGATCAGGCACTGGAGATAGATCCTTTGTGGACTCTTCAAGAAATACAGAAGTGATGGATCTGAGAAGCGGTGGTCTCAGGGGTCCAACAAGAAGGTACGGGTCTCCTACAAGATATCCTGGTGGTGCACAGAGTTCATACAGGCTCGGCGCAGCAGATCACAACTCAAGGCCTGCTTCAGTTGATCCAGACTATCGAACAGCATCGGAGCTCAAATTCAGGGGCTCAACCATGGAACCCCCGCCGGGTTTCCCAAAAAGGAGAGAGGGTCTGTTTGTAAGCAATCAAGGTGTAAATGATCGCAGTTGACTCGTAGGGTTGATTTCATGAGCTTCTAACTGGTATGACTCTCAGATTTCCCTTCATTTTTAATCCTAAGGCGATCGTTTGGTATCATCACCGTGTCATTTGGTCTCGCCATCTTCCCTGTTTTCGGCCTGTTGCATAAATAAAAAAAAGCAAAGCTTTGCTTTTTTTCCCCACGCCTAATTTCCTCCGTTTCGGATATCAAGAATGCACTTCGTGATGGCTAACTAGGGGATGTTCTCCTCCTCCTTGGAAACCCAGATTGAACTTAGAAGTTTACAAGAGTCAGGTTATTATGAGTTGCTATTCCTTCGGGCGGGGGAACCGAAATAAAATTAAAAATGAATAAACGGATTTTTTTCCTGTTCAAATATAATTTTGTCAACGATGAGTATGCCAGTTGAAGTAATTAGCGAAATTAAGTGATAGATTAACGTACGTAACGGTTTGATTAATGCAAAATTTGCCACAATGATAAACAAGGAGTCGAGGCGTTGGTTCCAGATTGGATGTAATGTAGAGGTAGGGATTGAGACTGAGTAAGTTTTCAGGCGGCGCTGAGATCAGAGCTGAAGAGACGTCGAAGATGGAGACTAGAGGGTGATGGTGGCCATGGAGGTCGGATGAAAAGGAAAGGGCCGAAAAGGAAGTCTGGATTGCCGGCTCAAGAGATTGTTGAGAAAGGCTAACGCATAAAAGCGAGGGCGCCATCGAGGATCTTGTAAGAACTCTGTAATTTCGAGGCGCCCAAAGTGAAAAGGAGAATTACGCTGAACCTCAAGCATTTAGGTCATGTTTGGTACATTAGAATTGAGTCCAAGAGAAATGGAATTGGAATTGGAATCATGTTTTCACTTGTTTGGTATGCATGAATTCAATTCCTTATGGATTCCAATTCAACCAAAATACCTAGAATTCAATTCCATTTTTATCATGATGGAATTGTCACAATTCCATGGAATTGTCATAAGTGTCCCACATATACACTCCATCATGATGGTTGAGTTTTTTATTTTTTTCTATAAGGGCATTTTGGTCTTTATCTATTTTAAATACATATATTTATTAATATTATATTCAGATTCCATCTTTATACCAAACATACATTTATAACTCAATTCTATTCTGATTTCAATTCCGATTCCAATTCCAATTCCGATTCCGATTCCATCAAAAACTCTTCCATCATACCAAACGAGGCCTTCCTCTGACCTCCCTCCCTTGTGAGTCGGAAGCGTTTCCGTTCTTACTTGTTGGAGAATCAACTAACGACTTCGTCACGCCTTCCACGCGCACAATCAAGAAGCATAAACCTACAATATGGACTAGTTCCGGATGCGTCTGCCAAGGAAAATATAAGTTGATGGCTTGATGTGCGATGATGAGCAGACGATCAGAGGAAGACAAACTGTTCTAATCTTTTTTAAGTTTTCTTCCTTCCTTTCTTTTTTGGTCGGATTACATGCTTTAAATCTCTACTTATACCCACCGCGCCTTCTTTTACTTATTTTACCTTTAAGCTTTCTGCGCCTTCAAAAATTAGGTTCTCCCCTTTCTTTGATCGGCCCAAACTTCTGATAATAATTGAGAGAGTAGCTTTATAAGTTAGAACACTTATTGTGAACATAAATGTGGCTATTGAAATTCTCTATACGCATTCAAACATGACAATGTGCCTAAAAAATTTGCATTGTCGAAGCTCTTGTTATCAGGTCATTATTACTCCTGAAAATTAGTAGTGACATTAACAAGTGATAAAGTATAACCACGAATATGGCATTTGCACGCAACAAAAGTATGAAGGTAATAGATATAACCCTGAGTATAAATATGAAGGTAATAGAAGTGGCGCAAAAGCATGAACACGAGGCGTTTTATAAAGTTTAATTTAATTCGCAGACGGTGTGTGAATCTCAATGCTCTTTTTCTTGTACCGTTTTATTATTATTATTTTTTGAATAAAAGGTCACGGAAAAACTGTGCAAATAGATAAATTAAGTCATATCAACTTATAAGAAGTGACTACAACCAGTGGGTGGATTATTAAAAATCTGAACAATTGAGTTGTAAGGAGAGACTTGATGAGTTATTCAGTCTGCACATTTGTCGGCCTCTCTGAAAACGTGATCAAAAGTGACAGTCCAATCGTGCATAAAAAGATTTCTAATTTTGTTAATAGTTGCAGCAAGTAAATGAGTATTAAAAAACTCATTGTGTATGAGTATAATTGCTTCAGTAAAGTTTGAAAAAACATTGACTCTATTAAACTTTTCAATCCAGCAAATAATGAGTCCTTCAAGAATATGCTTCCCATGGGCGTGGATGTGCATATAGGTATAAGCTGTGAATTATATTCGCACTGAAGTTGATATTGGTGAAAGATTAAGTGACTTTTGAAAAATGATATGCATCTTATAAATATAACCCAAATATGATTATATAGATTCGCCCACGTCAACGGGAAAAGATGTGCAAACGCACTGCACACATGTTCACACAACTGAAGACGATCAATATGATCACTCTAAAAAGGAAAAAGAAATGGAGGTTGATCAATGATTTTGGGGACCGATATTTTGTGTCGATGGTCTTATTAATGACATGCAAAGTCTGGAATTAACACTCGGAGCCTGGGGTTAACCGACAAAAAATATTATTTGTCTAGTACCTGACGAAAAGAAACATGGTCTTTTATTTAACACCTGAAGAACACCGAGGCACACTTGTTCCCCTTACTTGTATTCCAAAAAAAAAAAAAAAAGCTTGTAGGAAAAAAAAAAAAAGAATAAATAAAACCCTTGTTCGGGCCAGATCGGGATCTGGACCCTAACTCATTCCATAGCTGCAGCCGTACACGTAAGTTATACCATACACTCACAGACAAGAGTGCGAAAGGAAAGTGAGTATAGCAAAATTTTGGAGCGGTTACCTCGCCCTCTCCTCCCTATAGCTTTTCTCTGCCCCGTCAAAGCGATCATTCCTTTTCGGCCACTGCTACCAAGTTGAGTGAAATCACAATCTTCGTACCTGTAGTTACCGACATGGACAATTCTGGTCAGTTATGTATACTGTGTGCTCTTTCTCATTTCTTCCATCTCAGCTTCTCATGGTCACCTGCATGCTTTGTTTTAATGTTTTCTCTTCCTTTCCGATTCTTTTTATGCTAGTAAGACAAATCGAATACCAGTTACAACTTATGTTTTCTAGTGTCAAATTTTTCAGTACTCCTATTTCCGTTTCTTCTGCTGCTATTTCGAGTCTTACATTGGCGTTTCATCTTCGTTTTCCGCTTGTTCATTCCGTTTTTCTTTATTTCTTATTGTATTGTTCTTGAGGGTCTGAACTGATCTCTGGCGGTTGTAATCTACGAAGTCTGGGAAGTAATTGTAATGGATTTGATGGGAAGTTTGGACTCAGAGTTCAACTTATGGATAATATTCTTGTTCATTCAGCACAATTTTCGAGATGGAATAAGCTGTATAGTTACATTTGAAAACACATTTTTTAGATAGATATTTTGAGGAATTAATGATTATATTATGTGAAACCATTTTTTTATTTGTAATTGCTACATTGGTCTTGGCATGACACCTTTTCCATCAAATATTGATGCTTTTGGCAGGAAATCCTCAAGAGGTGACTGTGCCACCAGTTGAAGGTGTTGCTGGAGGGGGGACAGCTTATGGGTGGAATGATGGTGGTACACAGGGATTGAGTATACACAAGGGATCTATTGACCCTACAGAGATTCCAACTAGGGATATGGTATATGTGTGGAGCATGCCAAGCACAGCAAATGTTGGATCACAAGATATGCCTAGGCATTTGGAGCCTGTTAGTCCTGTGATCTTATTATTAGTGGTTTATGTTTATAATTTTTATGTGGTAGTTTTATTTTGCTTTGCAGCTCAAAGTTTATATCATGCATGGACATAATACGCATGACCACATTGTCTGTAAGCATGACTCTAACATTACTTGTTTCTATGAAATAGCTACATATTTGAATTGGTGAATCGTATTTGTTTCATGAATTCTCTTTACTCCATTCCATGAAATTAACCATTAAAGCATGTTACCTGAGTCAATATGGTTATTATTGTACAATGGCATCTGGTTTGGGCACTTTAATATTTTGTGTAAAGAAATTATTGATTTGGATGGAACATTTCTCCCTGGACGAACTATTACTGTGATGTTTGGAATCTTTGTTGCCTGTATTCTATGGATCCTATGGATATGGATATTGCATTATGATGCTGATGCAAATAAAGTATGTTATTCCAAATAGTTTGCGGCTGGCATTTGACTTATTTTTGCTTTTGTTGAAGGTAAATCTGCTGGCAGCTAGAAATGAGAGGGAGAGTGTTCAAATAGCCATGCGACCAAAGGTTTCTTGGGGTGGTCCTGGTGGTGTTGGGGGAATTGTGCAGGTTCAATGTAGCGACCTATGCTCCACCTCTGGTGACAGGTTGATGTATATTTACAGAATATTGTATCAAATATATGTTTTACTTTGATTTTATGCTGACATCATTTTGGGCAGGTTGGTTGTTGGCCAGTCTTTAAAGTTGCGGCAAGTGGTGCCTATTTTAGGTGTACCTGATGCTCTTGTGCCAGTTGATCTTCCAGTCTGTCAAATAAGCTTGTATCCGGGGTACTTAGCAGATCAGTATTTCTGAATTCTTTTCCCTACAAAGTTCTAGGTGCACAAAATGGTGGATGAATTATTTCTTTTGACCTTTCTTTTGGCATGTCTTCATTTCTTCAGGGAGACTTCTGTGCTTTGGTTATCAATTGATGTTCCAAGTGCTCAACCCCCGGGACATTATAATGGAGAGATTATCATAACTGCTATGAAGGCAGACGAGTGAGTCCTGCCCCCCTTCTTAATGATTCTTTAGTCTTGTTTCTGTATGACACATCTCAATTCATAAGTTTCTATGGCTGGCTGTTATCAACTTTCACCTATGTGCAGATCTCCAGGTCAAAGTTTAGTCAAGGCTGAGAAACATCAGTTGTTTGAGGAGCTCAAGGGCTGCCTTGACATAATTGAGCCGATTGATGGAAAACCATTAGATGAAATGGTGGGTTATTTTGTGTATTTTTTTAATTACTGTCTGTAATTCTGGTGCTCTTGTTTAACCTTGGTGTTATTATTGGTTGTTCATGCAAGCATCTATGTTTTAGGTACAAAGGGTGAAATCTGCAACTGCATCTTTAAGAAGGATTCTTCTGTCTCCACTATTTTCTGAATTTTTTTCAGATAATGGATCAGTAGATATGATGGATGAGGATGCCATTTCAAGTCTCTCAGTACGGGTGAAGTTGAATCTGACAGTTTGGGACTTTATACTTCCAGCAACTCCTTCTCTCCCGGCTGTATTTGGTGTATCCTCCAGTCATTAAACGTCAGACAATAAAACACATTTTTTTACAATGCTTTCAGAAAATGTTAAGTGTGTACATTGTCCTAAATGGGCTATTATACTTATTGCTTACTTGTAATTTTATTACAAACAATCTGGAAAAGCTAGAGTTGGGATAGTGCTGCTATTACATGTTCTACTTATACCTGATTATTTAAGCTGATACACTTATGGCCTACATGTTTGTGAAATTAGGAAATAGGAAACATTTATCTGACATGCATAATAGTTTCATTGACCAGACACTAGATATCTGATACTGTAATTGAGGATCGTTTTGGTGTTCAACATGGGACAGCTGAGTGGTATGAAGCAATGGACCAGCATTTCAAGTGGCTTCTTCAGTACAGAATTAGCCCCTATTTTTGCAGATGGGGTAATGGCATGCGTGTTTTGACATACACTTGTCCATGGCCAGGTATTTTTTTGATAACTTAATTATGACTAATCAATTTTAAATGACTGCATAATAGCACTAACTGAAATTGTTCTCTTCCTGCTACTGTAGCGGACCATCCAAAATCAGATGAGTATTTTTCAGATCCACGGTTGGCAGCATATGCTGTGCCATATAGCCATGTGATCTCCAGGTATACAGTCAGTTGTCCCTGTTTGCTTCAGTCAGGCATATTTGTGATGAAAACTGATGAGTTTCAATCTCCTGTTGATGTGCCACAGTAATGATGCAGCAAAGGATTACTTGCAGAAACAAATTGATATTCTGAGGACAAAGAGTCACTGGCGAAAAGCTTACTTTTACTTGTGGGATGAGGTATAGACAGGGCTTCACCATTTATTCATGATAATTATCTCTACTGTAGGGTGACCTCTTTTTGATATCTACCTTTATTCCAAGTCTTAACTCTGGACACAGTAGTGGCTGCTAAGAAAATTTATATATTTTTTCCCATCATAGTCTTGGCTCAATTAATTTACTTCCTGCTGAATGAGTGATTTTATTATCTAGCTATGTTGTCTTTTGACTTTTCTAATGTTATGACTGCTAGTTGAATGCATCTTAAGATGATCTTGATAAGTTGGTTTACTTGCATATATTTGACAGCCACTGAACTTGGAACAATATGATACTGTTCGCAATATGGCCAATGAGATTCATTCTTATGCTCCAGAAGCTCGTGTTTTAACTACTTACTATTGTGGTATGTGCTAAGTGCTTTCTACATAAAATAGTTCTAAACTCCGCAGTCTGCATTCTTATGCATAACATAGGTGTTATATTTTCCCTTCAGTGTGGTTTAATTTATTTACTATCTAGGCTATGGCTTTGGCTTATGTGGTATATTGTTTTTCATGGAATGACTGCAGATATTGTAACATGATTCTCATATCTGACTCTGATTTGTTTATCCTTTGTATGTTCTAAATGACTTTATCAGAAATCTGGTATTAGTGAGAGGTTGATTTGAACAATTGTAAAATGTGTTCTCTAGGTTCCTGTTTCTTATTATGGAACTCTAGAAAACCTTGATTAGCACCCCTTGGCCCAAGAGCTATGGGACTATCAGTAAACCTTTTACAGTTTAAGATATTGTAGGTGAGTTTCTAATGGTTCATTAGATGGAGAAATTTCTGGAGACATTTTTATGAGGCTGCCAGCCTGAGAATTGAGTTTGTATTGTAGAGAGATTGTGGCATGTGGAGAAAAAGGGTTAGACGAGTGCTGGGAGCTGATGGCAAATGATAGAGTACCAATTATTATAGGATAATGGCTTTATTAATTGTATGACTTTAAGATTCTTACTCATCTTCTATTCGAGATTTTCCTTCCTCTTTATTAGCTTATGATGTTAGATTCTGATTTCATATTTTAATTGTCTTTAAAATGCTCCCTTCTCTCTACCTATCTTGGATCCTATCAGCAAATGCTTGAAAGTCCTGACTGTATGTCAATGAAAATATGCGCCCTTGGATCCATCTTGGGAGTAACAACTATTGAGAGGATATGCAAAAGACTTGATGGATCAATACTTCACCTATATCTGTGATTCTTTTCACTTCGTCTTTGATAGTTGTGGGGCCTGCTTCTGCAGCTAATTGTGATCTTCCTTGGAAACACCATAAATTGAAAACTTATTTCTTTGTCATTTTTCCACCGAGTTTTTAAACTTTAACTTCTGCAATTGATTGTCCTGTTTCTGATTATATATATTTTATTGGTGATTCTTATTTTATGCAGGACCAAATGATGCACCTCTTGCATCTACTCCATTTGACGCTTTTGTAAAAGTTCCAAATTTCCTTCGTCCTCATAATCAAATTTATTGTACAAGGTACTGCTCTACATTAAGCACATCCAAAGATCTGGGCTATCTGCTATTTTCTTTGCTATGGCTGTTTTTGAGCTAGGGGAAAGGTATTGGAAGAGATAAAGAATGAGAACCACCATTTTCTTGTCCCCGCCCCCCCAAAGCAGAAATACTGTTGGTATATGATATTGAAGCTTTTCATTGTGTTTATTCCTTATCGAGATTTGGTTTGGTTAATACAGTTTCTTATGAAACATGGGTACCTCTGGATTTGAACCATACCCATAACAGGCGTATACTTGGCACCTGTACTTTTTTGGTTACTCCTAAATATGTATCAAGTAGTTTTTCCCTTTAAAACAAGTTTAATTTGGATACATATTGGGTAAATTTAGAAAGTTCCTTTAAAGTTTTAACCCTGGAAGTTCTATCTACCTATCTATATTGTTTTAAAAAGGTTATATAAACTTTGATATTTGATTAGAAAGCCTGATTTTCTAATTTGATTGATTATTTATCAAAGCTTTACTATCTATTTTTTCTCTCTTATAAAATGCTTTTTTTTTATATAGTATATATTGATGTTCACATAACTTACTAGGGAAAAAAAAAAAAAATTACCACATCCCTTACCCATACTGAGCTCAGTACCCGTACCTCTGTGATGATGCCTTAGTTGTGTCACCGCTTAACTAAACTAAGATTGATTTAATAAATCATAAGCCAACTTTAGGTCAATTTTTTCAAGGAACAATTTAGGAATTATCTTAAGTTGATTTTTTGTTATTTAATTTCTAATAGGAAGATCTAAAGGTAAGTGCTAAATTTTTACAATAAAATGCAAATAAGAAAATGTAATTTATGCAACTAAAACTACTTAGATGGATTCTAATACTTATGTCTAACACTTCAATACTATTATCCAATTTATGAGTCCTAAGTTATGATTGGGGGGGTTTGTTTCAAGAGAATTAAAATACCAACTAAAGGAATTAATCAAGTAACCAAATGAATTACTAAACAACAACAACAACAAGCCTTTATCCCACTAGGTGGGGTCGGCTACATGAATTGCAAGACGCCATTGTGCTCTATCATTTATCAAGCTTTTAGGAATATTATTAATTAAGAGATCACATTCAACAACTTTCAAGAGTGTTCTCTTAGGCCTTCCTCTACCTCTTTTAATCGGACTCAAAGTTATATGTTCCACTCTTCTCACTGGTGCCTCCCTTGGTCTTCTTTGTACATGCTCAAACCATCTCAACCGGTTTTCTACCATTTTTTCCTCAATAGGTGCTACCCTTACTTTTTCGCGCACGTGCTCATTTCGAATTTTATCTTTACGTGTATGTCCGCACATCTATCGTAACATTTTCATCTCTGCTACTCCAACTTTATGCTCTTATGTCCTGTTAGAGCCCAGCATTCATTACTATATAACATTGCCGGTCTGATAGCAGTGCGATAAAACTTTCCTTTAAGTTTGTTAGGCACCTTACGGTCGCAAATAACTCCTTTAGCTTTTCTCCAATTAAACCACCCAACTTGAATCCTATGTGAAATATCTCCACTGATTTCGCCATCATTTTGAATAATGGCTCCCAAATATCTAAACTTTTCTACTTGAGGTATAATTTAATCTTTCAATTTCACTTCCAAATTATTGTCGAATAGTCTCTTACCAAATTTACAATATAAATATTCCGTCTTACTCCTACTCAGACGGAAACCTTTCGACTCCAATGTCGTCCTCCATAACTCAAGTTTGCAATTAACTTCTTCTCTTATCTTTGCTATAAGAACTATATTATCGGCGAAGAGCATACATTTGGGAATTTCCCCTTGAATATGTTCCGTCAAAACATTTAAGATCAAGTTGAACAGATAAGGACTCAGAGATGATCCCTGATGTAGTTCAATCTTTATAGGAAAATTCTTTGTTTGACCACTAGGCGTTTTTATATTAGTTTTTACCCCCTTATACATATCTTGTATGGCTTTAATATAAGCAATCCGTCCTCCTTTTTTTTCCAATACTTTCCAAAGCACTTCTTTTGGTATACGGTCATAAGCTTTTTCCAAATCAATAAAAATCATGTGTAAATCTTTATTTTTACAACGATACTTTTCCATTAATCCCCTTAGTAGATAAATCGCCTCTGTAGTTGATCTACCTGGCATAAAATCAAATTGATTCTCAGAAATACTTGTCTCGAATCTCAACCTGTGCTCAATTACTTTCTCCCACAATTTCATTGTGTGGCTCGTGAGTTTAATCCCTCTACAGTTAGTACAATTCTGAATATCTCCTTTATTTTTATAAATAGGAATTAATGTACTTCTTCTCCACTCATCAGGCATTTTCTTGGACCGTAAGATCACATTAAATAACTTATTTAACCATCTCACCCTTTCTTCACCTAAACATTTCCACGCTTCGATAGATATACAATCAGGTCCGTTGGCTCTACCATTTGCCATTTTCTTAAGAGCTTCCTTTACCTCCTTATCACGTATTATTCAATAGAATGACAAATTTTGTTCTCCTTCACCAGTTATTAAATCCTTCAAGTTACTAGATGAATCCTCTCCATCATTGAAAAGTTTGGAAAAGTAAGTCTCCCATCTATTTTTAATTTCATCATCTGTAACTAAAATTCTTCCCTCTTCATCCTTAATACACTTTACCTGTTCTAGATCCCTTGATTTTCTTTCCCTACTCTTGGCAATCTTATAAATGTTTCGTTCTCTTTCCTTCGTCTCAAGGCTCTTATAAAATTCTTCAAAAGCTTTAGAATGAGCTTTACCCACAGCTCTCTTAGTTTCCTTCTTAGCCATATGGTACTTCTCCCAATTTTCCTCATTATTATACAAATGTATGGCTTTAAAACAGTTCTTTTTATACTTGATTTTGTCCTGTACACTATTATTACACCACCAAGACTCCTTATCTCTCGGACCAGAACCTTTTGATTCTCTCAAAACTATTTTTGCAACCTCCCGTATCTTTTTAGCCATATCCTCCTACATGATGTTAGCACTTCTCTGAGATTCCCAAATTCCTTTGTCCAAAAGATTTCGCTTGAAAATATCTTGCTTCTCACCTTTTAATTGCCACCATCTAATCCTTGGTGCTACTACTTGTCGACGCTTTTGGATTTTACTCATAATACACACATCAAGGACTAGGACCCTATGTTGTGTTGTTATAGCATCTTCGGGGATCACCTTGCAATTTTTACAAAGTCTTCTATCTGTGTTCCTAACCAAAAGAAAATCAATTTGTGACCTTGAGGTTCTACTTTTGTAAGTGATGAGATGCTCATCTCTCTTCTTGAAACAAGTGTTGGCAATCTTAAAATCATACGCCGATGAGAAATCAAGAAGAGTTTGTCCTTCATTGTTTAGCTCTCCAAAACCAAGACCACCATGCACCCTCGTATACTGACCAGCCTCCCTCCCAACATGCCCATTAAAGTCTCCTCCGATAAAAATCTTTTCACTCTGTGGTATGTGTCGAATCAACCCCTCCAGATCCTCTTAAAATAATTCCTTAAGACTGGCTTCTGTCCCGACTTGTGGCGCATAAGCACTAACAATATTAACAGTCTCATGTCCAATTATCATTTAAGGAAATAATTCTATCTCCAATTCTGCTAACTTTTACAACATTCTTCTTCCACTCCTTATCCATAATAATGCCTACTCCATTGCGTGCGCTTACTTTTCCTGTATACCAAAGTTTGAAACCTTGAATATCTTTAGCTTCTTCTCCACGCCATTTTATTTCTTGCAGGCAAAGGATATTGATTTTCCTTTGAATCATAACCCCTACAACCTCTACAGATTTATAATTCAATGTCCCAACATTCCAAGTATCAAATCTAATTTTGCTCTCATGGACTAACCTCTTTAGCCCCGCACGTCCAGAATGACGCGGTAGCCCTTGCTCATTTAACACTACATCCGGGCGCCGATGCAACGGCTCTAACTCACTTATCACTGCACTCGAGCCATGCAGCGCGTTACTTACGGGCAACGACCTAGCATTATCATTATAATGTCTATTGTCCATGTTCATGGACAATTATGGTAAAGGAAGCAACTTAGGACTTCAAATGGTGTTAACTTTCCTAGCCCTATTCAATTAATTGGACCAAAGGAAAATTATAGGAGAGTGAAATTAATAAATTCAACTATTTAATTAAAGCAAAAGGAACCCTCAAGTTTGAAAGCCTAACACTTAAACCACTAGGGAACTCATAGTGATTCAAATGTTACAACTATGAATTAAGCCAATTAAAATCATTAAAACCAATGATGATTAAATCAAAATAAATCTGGAAAATGTGCTTAAATATCTAATTGAACAATTAGATAAATTACCAACTCAATTAAACAATCAAGAGGTAAAAGGAACAACTTAAATTTGCAATAAACACCATAATGACAGTTAAATTAGTAATAAGAACTCAATCATTAATCTAATTAACATAGCAATGGTATATAAACATAAATTTCAGAAATTCATTCAACACAAATTTATTTCAAATATCAATCCAATCCAAGATTAAAAATATTTATAACCTATAATTAGATTTCCTCAAGCATTACAATTTAGAATCACTTAAAACTAAATAATCCTAAACTTTTGAATAAAAAAGATAAATGTAAAATCACTCCCTTATGGTCTTCAAGTGCAAATCTTAGGCTCTAGCTTTCTCCATGCTCATCTCAAGTTGTCTCCCAAGCTAGCTCAAGCTCCCATGAACTTTCTTCCTCCTCCAAACTCCTTACACGTGGCAGCCATAGATGGAAATGAGAAAAGAGACCAGATTGAAATTATTATTGTGTTGTCGTGTGTGGGTATGTGGAGAAAAGGGGACACATTAATGAAATGGAGAATGGAGTGGTGATAATGTGGTTTCAATGGAGATTGGAGGAGAAAATTTGTTCAAATGGAGATAAGAATTAAATGGGAAAATGATGATTGTGTGTGTGGAGGAATATATGGGTCGGTGGAGAGAAGATGAAGATGATGCGAAAAACTCTACCTGGAAGAAGAAGCTGAAGAAACAATAGAACCCAGCGAGAGCTTGAGGTGGCAGCAGCTGTGTAGGTGAGAGGAAGAGTTGGGGGAAAAATGATCCAATGGTAGAGATAACAGGTAGAGGAACTTGGGAAAAATCCCAACCATTGAATCTAAAAGAACCAATGAGAGAAAAAATGAAAAAGAAAAGACAAATTCCCTTGATTTTTCCTTGCCATGATTTACCTATAGTACCCTTAATGAATCTCAAAACTGTCTTCCAAAACCTTGACCATTGGATGTCTTTTGGAGCCTAAGAATTAATCTCCACCATAAAATTTTATTAATTGTGCTTTCATAGCCTGAACAGTCAAAATGAACTTATTAGTGTAGGTTTTGGTCTAAAATAAATTTCATGACTCATGAAATATTTCAAATTATAATTTTCAAACAATTATATAGGAAAATAATGTCTAATAATTCAAATTAAGCTCAATTAAATAGTGTCAAAATGAAAGCATGTTGAAAATAGGAAAATAAAATATTAACAATTTAAGCCCAAAATTCCCAATATTAATCCAAAAATAAATTATTCCTCAAAATTGGCTAATAATCCAAATAATATTTAATAAACCCAAATTAGCCCAAAATTATCATTAAAATATATGAAAAAGAAAGGATAAGATATATAAAATTATGATTTATCACTGTGCAACAAATTTCTATTACATTATCATTAATAATCCTCTTTCTATCTCTAGACTATGCAGTGAAGCTACTTCAAGCATGATTTGAATTTGTTGGATAGCTCTAGGCCTATGATTCTTTGCATGAAAGAAAGTTGGTAATTAGAGACCTGACAATATATTATTGCATTCACAATATCTCACTCCAAACCCTGTGAAAGAAACATTTGAAATGCAGGATGTTTTACCAGTTACTGACACAATGACATTTCAAGTTCTTTAGGTAATTATGTGATCACTGCTCTGGATTTTTTTCCCCTTGGTGCTTATTGATGAGGAGAGCCTTTGAATGAAAATACATACAAGTAAATTAGGATGGAGTTTTTACTTATAAGTTTGTATTTGAATGGTTTATGTTGTCTGCATAAGATCAATGTTAGCTTATTCATGTAGAGAATGGAAATGGTTATTGTTATTTAATCACATTGAACTTGTGTAAGTAGAGTTTCAAAGCTTTCTAATCTAGTTAATCCAGTGGCTCTTTGTTTTTTCTTACCTGATAAACATTTACAATATTTTGAACTTCGTTATGGCTGAATGACTATGTGATGAAAATCAATTCCCTCTTCAGCTTCTTTATACCTTATCCATTTTTTTAATTGCTCCTGGCCAAGTTCTTTTTCTGATCAATACCCTTTTAGGAAGCATCTACTTGAACTTGATTTAATTTCTGAATGATTATACTTTTCCTTCACGGGAATATTCCTTACTTTCATTAAGTTTTCTAGGAATTGAAATTCGTTTCTTTGCAGTGAATGGGTTCTGGGAAATCGAGAGGATCTGGTCAAGGATATTGTTTCTGAATTACAACCAGAGAATGGTGAGGTAATATCATATTTTGATTTCTTTCAACTCTGAGCTCTGTAATATATTTTTGGTGTACTTGATATCTGAAAAGGCAGGTTGGTTTTTATTGTGTCTAGTCAGCAATATCTGAGAAAAATCTCCAATATATATAGTAAATGCTGTTCTGTGATGTATTCTTAGCAGCTTTCATATTTCTCATAATAGTTACCATTGTCTAGATGGCGTCTTGCAATCCATGTAGCCGACCCCACCTAGTGGGATAAAGGCTTGTTGTTGTTGTAGTTACCATTGTCTAGATGCCTGTTTTCAAGGCTGAGACTCTGTTTTTTTGGTGCTTAATTTCTGTGGGACTCTGTTCTTTTCTTTTTCCTTTTCTTCTCTGCCATGCCTAGGTACACATTGATATAATCGTTACTGTACTAAGAATGGTGCTAATGTCACAGTTTTATGAAACAAACAATGACAATTCTGTTCTGTTCAATAAATTTGAAAGGCAGTGAGTTAAATCAGTCACATCAGAACAGCTTTATTTTTTAGAGGGCTTTGGAGTTGTGTGCCCAGAACTTTTTTTCTTCAATATTGAAGTTTAATCATCATTGAATCCAGGTGTTGTCTGATTTCGTCAAAGCAAATAATTGTGGTTGCTTGTGCAGCTGAATTATTTTTTGGATGTCAAAGTCTCTCCCTCTTACTCATAACATCCTTATGCACTGCACTGTATCATGCATTCATAGTCGCGTGCTAAATGTCGGTGTATCTAAACAAGTTGATTTATGAAAATTATAGATACTTGGCAAGGTTTGTGAGCGTTTATTGAGTTTTAGGTCGGTTCTATCTTTAATTAACAGTCAATAGTATTACATTGATGGAGTTATAGTATGTCTTATTTTGACCTCTCTTGATTTCTCTGACAAATTATTTGTAACTACAAACCAATGTATGTGGCTGAGGGAGGGCATAGTTTACTTAATGCCAGGGTAATTGATTGCATTGCTAATGCAGTAGCGCTACTATGTAAAGATGCTGCGAATTTTTTCTCTCTCTCTCTCTCTCGTTGGTGCGTTATGTGGAATTCTCAGACTTGAGTACTAATTAAGGTTTAACAAGAGAATATGCATAGCAGAATGCGCACATATGTTGCTGTGTCTGTTTGCTTAATAGATCAGAATTTTTTTCAGGAATGGTGGACATATGTATGCATGGGACCATCAGATCCTCATCCTAACTGGCACCTTGGAATGCGAGGCACTCAACATCGTGCTGTCATGTGGCGAGTGTGGAAAGAGGGTGGCACAGGATTTTTGTACTGGGGTGCCAACTGCTATGAGAAGGCTACTGCAGCCAGTGCAGAGGTGTTTATCTGCCCTGACTATACTGTATACTATTGGATTGGAACAGGGCTGTAAGAGGTTCATCTATAAAAGAATTCTTTTGACTGATAGCCGATATATTTTCTTGAGCACAGATAAAGTTCAGACATGGCCTTCCACCTGGAGATGGAGTTCTATACTACCCTGGTCAGGTGTTCTCATCTTGTGATGAACCGGTTGCTTCTTTAAGACTAGAGCGCATACTTAGTGGCTTGCAGGTAAGAGCGATGGAATTTCAAAAGTACTTATCTAATTGTACTGAATCTACTTGAACTTTTGCCGACTTGCTTCTCTGTTATATAAATGCAAAATTGTGTTTGTGAAGATATTCTTGTGCGCACGTTCTATCAGTCTTATGGATGACTATTTATTTTCATGTTTTGCTAGAGTTAGTTGTGCATAGTTGTTTCATATTCTGATCTTTTTTGTCACTGTTGTGCCTAGGACTACGAGTACCTGAAACTATACGCTTCTCGATATGGTAGGGATGAAGGGGTTGCTCTTTTGGAGAGGACTGGCTTGTATTTTGGTCCTGAGCGTTACACATTTGAGCATATGCCAATCGATGCAATGAGAGGAGAAATATTTAATGCCTGCCGCTCCTAACTTTTTGTATAGACGATACCATCCGTTTCAAGTGGTCTATTTGGCTTTGGAAAAAAAAAAAAAAAGTGGTCTATTTGGCGGCAGCTGTCAAATCCAGGCTTCAGTGTTTAGCATTCAAATGTCAATTGATGCAGTGCATAATTTGAACTGTGGCTATAATATCCATTTGGAACATAGTTAGAAAATAGGGGAGCTCTCTTCTTCTTTTTTGGAATAGTGAAATGGACCACAATGTCGGTGAGCAACTGGAGTTCCCCCCGCCCCCCCCCCCCCCACCCCCAAAAAAAAAAGAAAGAAAGAAAGAAAGAAAAAATATCACTTAGTCTCATGTAAATATTTATCCGATGTTGCAAGGATAATTAGAAGTTAGAAGATGTATATTGTGGGGCTAATGCTCTAAACAGGTTTGGCTACTGGATGAGAGATTGTCCCTTTTTGGTTCAATACTGTATTTTATGTCATATTATTGATGATGATGTCGTGTTTATCCAATCAATTGACCAAGTTGACGTTGTTAGCTCATGAAGTCAGAATGCCTGCTCACTCTTGTAAACTTGTTTTTTCTTATTTGGCCCCTGAATAAAAACTGCAAAGAGGGATTCGCGTTATGCACCGGAGTCTTCGATGTGTGCCATCGTGAACCATCGCTATGGCGATTGTATTTAGTGCCGCAATATGAGTAGCATCGTCAGTCCATCATTAATATCATTGTACATGTGTGTGTGGGGTAAAGTATAACGAATTGTTAATGTGGATGAATAATTCTTTCGACAATAATATTTTTATTTTTACCTATTTGCCAAATGAAGTTTATTTAAAAAAATTAAATAATTCAATGTTATTTGCACCAAACGTGTCAGTCACAATTAGGCACGACCGCGATTGATATTTAAAAATATCTTTAAATTCATAATTGTAATTTTTTTATCAAGAAATAATAGATAAAAAATAACTTCTAAAATATGAAGCGCATTATTTAATAAGCTTTAACTCTTTTTTTATATATGGAAGTAACAAGTTATAAAATAAAATAAGTTGTATTTATCTTTTAATTTGCATATTTTTACTTTTATTTGTGAGAGAATACTACATCTTGAAATAATAAATTACTTTTTACATTTTTAGTATACAAGGAATAAAAAAATTCAAAACAATTTATGTAAGAATAAAATAGTTCATAATCGATTTTAGAGAATAAAATTATGATTTCTTTTAAAAAAATTCAAATGCCCAATTATAAATATTAAAATCAATTATTCAAAAATGCCATAAAAAACTTCACTATCAAATAAATTGTTGAAAAGGAGTTGGAAACTTTTGGAAGATGAGATCTTTCACTGCCAATAATCGCCAAGGGCTAAATGACAAAAATGGCTTGTTGATTAAAAAAGAAAGCAAAAATTGAGTAAGGTTATTTACTGTTAATATTTCACATAAGGTCTTTCTTTGTTAATATGTCACAAAGTCTTTCGTTGTTAATAATTTCATGTCAGCACTTAATACAAAGTTCTTTAGTATCAATATGTTAATTTGAAATACTAAAAGTAAGGGTCTTTAGTCATATACAACGATTCTTTCACTGTAAATATTTAAATTTTAATTATATGTAAGAAGACTTCCATTTATTCAAATAACATTTTTTGATATTCTAAAAATTTATGACTTAGAAACATTTTGGAATACTAGAAGCATGGGTCATCAATTATATGCATTCCATTTTATACAAGAGAACACCCACATAGTCGAAGAACACTTTCATATCTGACTATCGCTCATTAATTTCACTTATGGATACATATGCAATTTTTTTCTCAATATGCGACTGATCTTTAATAAAATGTAAATTTCTTTCATATATTTGAATATCCATCATTAATTTTTCCTATGGATACTTTTGAAAGTACAAGCAACCTTTTTTTCCATGATATGCTACTAATTTGCTGCTGATCTTTAACAAAATGTTATTTTCTTTCATATATTCAAATATTACTTATTCATTTCCCTTATAAATATATCTCTGGAAGTATATACAATTTTTCTTTCACAATATATAGTTGATTTTCAATGAAATACAATTTTCTTATATATATTCAAACATTATTTATGCATATTATGAAAAAAATCTTAATGTCAAAATTTTACATAAAATTTATCTTATATTTAAATATGGCTTTTTCATATTCTAAAAAGAATAATTTTGGTGTCGAAATTTAACATATAATGCACTTTATATTCAAACATCCAAAAGGAATATTCAAATTTCCCTTATGGATTGAAAATTTCAAGATATATAGATTCAATATTCGAATATGATTGTGCATATTTTGAAAGCACATATGAATATTCTAAAAACACAAATAAATATTTTGAAAACACATATAGATATTTTGGAATACTAGAAGCATGGGTCTTCAATCATATGCAACGAATCTTTCACTATATGCATTTGAACTTTAATCATATGCAAGAAAACTTCCATCTATTACCAACTTCTACTATATGCGTTTGTGTTTTTAGTACCAAAGCTTCCAACTCCAACTTAAAGCATAAAAAAAAATAATAATTGAACACCGACAAATCCATTTATCATTAAGTAATAATATATTCTTACATTCCTTGACAACATAACAATACATAATACACATACTCATAGGAAAAATGATTCACCTATAAGAGGTAAAACTTGGGGGGGATATCATCTATACAAGCATTACAAAATGTCTCCTACAAAGATTCTTTGATTGGATACAATGGCTGCTATGGTATTAATTTAGACAGAAATCCTAATAGCAAAAATGAATCACTTGCAAAAGAATTAGATCAAGAGTGGGCACCTTCTGAAAGAACTAAAAAGTTGATGGCTCAATATCCATCACTACAGATCTCTGATGAAGAATGGAAAAAAATTTCCTTGCCTTGGATGGATGCAATTGTCATCAACATACTAGGGTTACATCTAAACCCCAAATCTCTTAAACCAAGGTTAGCAAAATTATGGAAGCTCAAAGACTTTGAATTGATAGATCTTGTTAACAACTATCACATTGTTAGAACCAAGGACCGTTTTGCGTATGACAATATTCTGAATGGTGGTCCTTGGACTATTTTTGACCATTGCATCCTTGTTCAACGTTGGTCTCCTAGTTTCAATCCTAATACCAACTCACTTGGTAAAATAGCTCTTTGGGTTAGGCTGACCAATATCCCAATACAATGCTATGATAAAGAGGTGCTTTGGCAGCTAGGTAACTGCATAGGAAAAACACTTAAAGTAGACTCCAACTCTCTAGCAAAATCTATATCTAAGGATGAGCAGGGTAAGACTGAAAGGGGCAAATTCGTGAGAAACAGTGTGGAAGTTGATCTCCAAAAAAAGCTTATCCCCAGAATTCTTATCAAAGATGAGTTATATAACGTAGAATACGAGAGCTTAAACCTCATTTGCTTCGGTTATGGATGCTACGACCATAATAAGACTAACTATCCTCACAACCCCAAAAATAAACATGCAGATACCGACTTAGAGAAACAGTCAGCCAATCAAAAATCTACTGACGTTCAGATAAGAACAGCAGAGAAAAGCAAACAGAACATGAGTTCACCAGAAAAAAGCCAGAACATATCGAAAGAAGAGTTCGGCGATTTCATGAAAGTCCAACACTCAAGGAAAGCTCAAAGTTCGAGATACCCAACGAATAGCAAGCCACCACGTCATAATCATGTACCAAATCTCTCATCTAGGACGAGATTTGACATCTTAACCACCCTAGAACGCCATACTGAAGACCAGAGAGGAGTTGAATTAGCCAATGTGAATGGTACGACTAAGAACACGCCTACGAAATCGGTCAGACAAGTTTGGAAGAAGAAAGAAGTGACAGGAATTAAAAGGAGCAGACTTAGCGAGCAAGATGCAGCAACCGAACCACCTCGGATATTAGAGCAGAGCACGCAGGACAAGGGAAAAAGGGTTACAAGAGCTGGGCCAAGCTTCAATTAGGAGGGCCTAAAAACAATCAGCTTGACAAACAATGGTCCAAATATACCTTAGCCCAATAACGCAATTCATAAGCCCACCAAGAGAATTCACAATGTTATCAAGGGGAGCAAGGGAACTTTGGGCTCTTCAGCTAAGCCCAAAAACATGATAACCATACAAACTGAATCTGGAGACAACGCAACTGGAAATAACAAAGCTGGAGTTCGCTTCTCCCCTGATCTAAACGTCTGGACAGCAAAAAATAATGTCACTGGAAATTCTCAAATTAATCCACTAGTCATTTCTAGTCCTCTCCCCAATCAAAAGGAACCACCTGACATGGAGTTTAACCATAGCATTGTCCCTGAAACTCAATTCAATGAATTCCCCATTATGGAAATTCATGACAATTGTTCGAATTCTGATGTTATCTAAAAAAATTTCATCCAAAAAGATATTGAAGAGGATATTCTCAACGATGACCTGCTTGATGAAGATTATGATATTCAAGCCCAAAATGATGATCTAGAAGACGATGAATTCAGTGATGATCAACTTGAAGATGCTACATAAATCTTAAAAGCATAATCTTCAATCCAGGTTTATCTTCTCCATTTCTTTTTTTATGGATATAATTTGTTGGAACTGTAGAGGCTCTTATGCAAAAACCTTTCCTAATCGTATCAAAGAAATCATCAAAATGTATAATAGTCAAATTTTTATTTTATTGGAAACCAGAGCCAGTGGTGTTAAGGCTGATAAAATTGTGAGAAAACTTAGTTTTTCTGACTGGATTCGTGTCGAGGCTACTAGTTATGCTGGCGGTATTTGGTTATTATGGAATAATGATATTATCAATATTGAATATATACATTTTAATGTCCAATTATTACACTGTAGGGTCAACCATTTAGCTTCGAACAATGTCTACTTGCTCTTTTGTGTTTATGGTGATCCTAACCCTTATAACCGTGATCTCCTCTGGAATTCTATTACTTCTATTGCTCATAATACTGACGAACCTTGGCTCATTGTTGGCAATTTCAACTCGTATCTTTCATGTCAAGATAAATCTGGGGGCGATAGTTTTAATTGGAGGTTTATGAAACTTTTTCGACATTGCATAAATTCTTCTAATCTTATTGAATTAAACTTCCATGGTGACAGATATACTTGGGAAAAAAGCAATATTAAAGAACGTCTTGATTGGACTTTCTGTAACATGGAATGGCAACTCCATTTTCATCAGGCTAACTCCTTCCACCTTCTTAAATATGGCTCTGACCATCGTCCAATCAGAATTCAACTACATAAGGAAGAACAACAAAAGCACCAAAATAAACCTTTTCGTTGTCATGCTGCTTGGATGCTTGAAGAATCCTTCCATACTATTGTTAAAGACTCTTGGATTACTGATAGTTGGATTGAAGGAGCTTTCAAATTTGCTACCTCTGTCACCCTTTGGAATAATGAACACATCGGTAGCATCTCTTCCAAAAAGAAAAGAATTATGTGAAGGCTGGAAGGAATTGACAAAAACAGGAATC